GCCGTTCAGAGAGAAACTTCAGATTTGATCCTGCAACCAACCAGTGGTCGTGTGATGTCGCTCCAACTTCCACATGTCGCACATCAGTTGGTGTGGCTGTACTGGACGGTTTTCTTTATGCTGTTGGCGGTCAGGATGGTATAAACTGTCTGGATGTTGTTGAACGGTGAGGGTAAATCTGACCCGTTTTCATATGTTGGTTTGCATTCTCGCTAGTCTTATATCCTTGCAGCTATGACGCTCGGCGAAATGAGTGGACCTGTGTGGCACCAATGGGCACACGTCGACTTGGGGTTTCCGTCTCTGTGCTGAATGGCTGTTTGTACGCTGTTGGAGGTTCCGATGGGCAATCACCATTGAATACTGTAGAAAGGTGAATCGAAGTGCGTCTGATTTCTTTATAGCGGAGGTCTCTTCGGCTTTACCGTTCGCTATGGAGTCGTTTTTCGAGAACGGATTGACATTTATTGGAAACAAGATGTTGTATGGAGAAGTTATTGGTATTGTCAAATATACGCTCATAGGCCTCCATATTCCTTTAGCCTAGATAAACAAAGAAAAGAATGTTGGAGATGGTAATAGCTTCTAGATAAATTTCAGATTGGATCCACGAGTAGGCAAATGGGAAGTGGTTCGTTCGATGTCAACACGTCGAAAGCATTTGGGATCAGCAGTGTTTGATGGTCACTTGTATGCAGTAGGAGGGCGAGATGATTCATGCGAACTGAGTTCAGCTGAAAAATACAATCCTCTCACTAACGAATGGACTGCGGTGGTTGCCATGAACAACAGAAGATCTGGTGTGAGTTCGCACAGTTCGATGTTCCGAACCATGTGTTCATACAAAGGTAAGATAATAGACTGTTTCATTTTCAGGTGGGATTGGCTGTTGTTAACGAGAGGTTATATGCTGTGGGCGGGATTTGATGGCACTACCTACCTCAAAACCGCTGAATTTAATCCTTGAGGGCACAAATAGTGGAGGCACCGGTTGCAATGAAAATAATACGAGTTAGTTCCTCGTGATCATCTATTTGTTGAAAATTTCAGAAATTTTCTTAACATAATTTATTATCGTAAAGTCGCCACAAAGTTGAGGAGAGTGAGGAGGGTTGTGGGTGCTTATTCGGAATGCCATAATCGTTCCCGCAGCAACACCGCGGATTTGATGGTGAAATTCACACCTCTTCCGCGCCACCCACTTCCACTACGGACATCGATAACGATGTATGAGTTTGAAAGTTGTAAATTGGTATATTAGATTTCTGACTTAATAGCAGATATATGGAAAAGGAGTTTAACGTATGATTTTCAGCAGTATGACTGTAACATCGTGGATGGTTATTTTGGCATGTTCTTATCACCGACAAAATTCAATGAATGAATCTCATGATGATGTATTTAACATAAGAAAATGAAGGATAAAAAAGGGTGAAGCGGTGCTGTTTGGCTCGCTGGGGGGGGAAGGGGTGGCATTCTGCTAGTTCTCTCATTTTCCTCACCTTTGCAAGGCCGGTATAAATGAAAGTGCTATTCAGGTTTTTCTATGTATGCTTGTGTCAGTATTAGAAAGTTTGCATTTCTCTACATTGATGGGAACTAGTGGGACCCATAGGGTAGTTGATTAGTCTTTTCAGAAATACCGCCTTGAAACATCACCGTTTCACGGTTCTATATTTGTGCGTACAATATGAGCCAGTCGCCATGCAATAGCCAAAGAAAAAAATCAAGAGTAGTAGCATTTTCCCAATGTGTCTTTCTTCTTTTTCCAGGGGCCATATGTAGCACAATATAGTGTTTTCTGCCTCACCCGCGAATCTTGCAGCACTCCTCAGCCTTAGGGAATGGCGGTATTGGCTAGCTTGGGCGAAACTGTATCGAATGCGGACTGGGCGTAAGGCAGGCGGCTCCATTTGCTCCCACCCCATACGAAACAACTCTTCTGTGAATCAATATTTTCTTTTTCATGACAAAAAGCTTCATATGAAAAAGCTTTTGTTACGCCTGATTTTACGACAAAATCGTCGTTCTCGAAAGGCTCAAAGCATGTCGATGCTCACTGACTGCGACTCAAACCGCGTGGCTACAAAAAAGAAATCTCCATGGCAATTACTTGCGTCAGTTCCACCAGCACCGGTGGCATGCTCTACTACAGTAGCGTAATGGACGAACGGATTGAGACTTAGCCGTAGCCGAACTGGCTGATTCCTTAGTTTCACTTGCTCCATTGTTTTTCGTTTGTGCTCTCTTGGTGTGGCTGCAACTAGTTGAACGGGTCCGCGTTGAACAGAACATAGTATTCTACAAGTTTCGATGTATAGTTTGTAACATTGCATTCGTCGGGGGCGGCTAGCGCAGCGCGGCACGAGCTTGCGTCCGACTCGCTCTACCAATGATGATTGTAAGGAATCAGCCCTTGGTGGGAAGCAGAGTACGCCATCGTTGTGATCATCACAAGGGGGGGGGGTCGTATTTGGTCAGAGAAAAATTTTTTTGATAGTTGATTTCTCTTGTTTCACGGACGCTGTAAGGGGGGGGGGTCGTACTTGGTCATTTTTGGGAGGGGTGGGTCGTATGATAGTTTCATTCTGACG